CCCTCCCTTCTCTTTTGCACCTTTTCATCATCAGACTCCCGTTGCTTCTTCTCCTTCCAATCATCTCCATTGTTTCGATTCCTATCCTTCCTATCATTTCTTTCATCTCCATTCCTTCGACTCATCTCCTTCCTATCATCCTTTACATCACCATCTTCACCTTCATGTCGTCGTTTCCTCTTACTCCTATCATCCCTTTCAACGTCCTCATCAACTTGGCTTACATTTTTTCTGCTTTCCTTCCTACCATCCCTCCTCTCATCATCTTCTTCACTTCCATCTTTTGGCCTCCTCTGTCTTCTGTCATCCCTTCCAGCATCATCTTCACGGTCATTTCTTCGTCTTCTCTCCCTCCTATCATCCTTCTCATCATCATCTACCCGTTCACTTTTTCTCCTCCTCTCCCTCGTTTTATCTCTTTCACCATCATCATCATCTTCTTCCTGTTCTTCTTTTGGCCTCCTATCACCCCTTTCAGCACTATCTTCACGTTCATCTCTTTGACTCTTCCGCTTCGAACCATCATCACTATCATCCCTAGTTCCACGTTCAGTTCTTCGCCTCGACAACCTCCTATCATCCTTTCCATTATTACCACCACCATCATCATCTTCATCACCACTTTCATGTTCAATTGTTCGCCTCCTCGCCCTCCTATCCCCCCTTCCATCATCACCACTTTCACGTTCACTTACTCGCCTCCTCGCCTTCCTATCACCTCTTTCATCGTCATCATCCGAGCTGCTTCTATCCCTATGCCGTTGCCGCTCTACTTTCTTCACATCCTCATCGTTCCTTCTCCTACGATATCTATTCTCACTCAAATCCTTCTCCATAAGCTCAACTCAACTTGTGCTTACAATCACAAAATTCAATAATCAATTATGTGAAGCACACAACAATGTCTACATACAGTAATAAGAAAAAAATAGGTGAATTCCAGGAACACTTCCACTACAACAAACGCCGGAATCTATGTGAAGAAAACGGGACCTTTAGCTCCGCCGGCAAAAGTTTCCGATTTGGATTTGGAATTGGGGATAAACAGAGAAGAATTCGGGTAGGGGAAGAAGTGGATATTTTACCAAGCCCGATATTCAGATCCGCTATGGAATTTTTTATTTTAAAAAAAAACAATTGAATTGAATAAAAAGCAAACTACAAAAACATATTCAATATAAATATATAATGACGTTAGTGGGGTCTAGAGAGAGTGCATTCTTTATATCTACCTTCACAGGGTAGAAATGTTGTTTCGGATGCAAAAGCATTTTATAAAGTAGGGTAAGATTTATGTACATCCTCACTCTCTCCGAACTTTATTTCTACCTTGTGAAGTAGAAAATTTGTTACAGATATAAAAACATTATAAAAAAAAATAAAAAATTGTATATAATAGCAAACTATTAATTCAAATTAAAGGCTATAACCATAGTTTGATTTAATTGTATCCCATAACAAACTGTTGTTATTTCGCCTCACTCCTAGTGAATCTCGCTCGCAACCCTCGTTCTCTCCCTCGCCTCTCTCGCTTTTATACAAACGCAAATGTATAAAATGTGTTTGTGTTTGTATAAAGCGAGAGAAACTTGTATATATACATATATTTTCGTTCCTCTGTCTCCCCTCTCCCAGATCTCGCTCGCCACTCTCCCAAATCTCGCTCGCTCACTCGCCTCTCTCACTTTATACAAAAACTCAAATGTATAAAATGTGTTTGTATTTGTATAAAACAAGAGAAAATTGTATATATACATATATTTTCGTTCCCCTTTCCCAAATCTCACTCGCCACTCTCCCACATCTCGCTCGCTCGCCTCTCTCACTTTATACAAACACAAATGTATACATTGCGTTTGTGTTTAGATAAAGCGAGAGAAAATTGTATATATAAATACAAATGCATATATTTTCATCCTATACACTTATGATTATACAAATACGATCTTTCTCTGCCCAGTTTTCTTTTGTTTTTCTCTCTTTCTCGCGTTATACAAACACATATTATATAATTGACCTTTTATATATGTATACCAAAGCAGATTATACAACTGCTTTCTTTTGTATATGTATAACGAAATATACATATTTATGTTTGTTATGGAGCCAATTATGCAAACTATATTTATAGCATACAAATATAATTTTCATGTTTGTTATATGTAAAAGTTGCTCTAAAAAAAAGTAGCCTCAAATCTATGTAAGTCTCAATATCTCAGGACCTTATTTTACTTGTGAAGATAAAAAAGTTGTTTCAAATACAAAAATATGATTAAGTAGGAATAAAATCTATGTACATCTCACTTTTTTCAAATCATATTTCTACTTCGTGAAGATACAAATATTGTTTTGGATACAAAAATATTATATGAAAAAGTAGGAATAAGATCTATGTATGTATTTCTCTCTCTGGACCTTAGTTATGAAATTATATTGTTATTGTTATTGTTATTAATTTTAAAGGTAGGTGCGTACTCACGGTGCAGACATTTGTCGATGAATCAGATTTTAGGAACAACTAGAACTAAGAAATTAGAGTTTCTTTGTAATGATAATATTTAGGGAATGGGTCAAAATTAATATATGTGTGCGTTCAAATTATCTAAATAAAGGTAAAATGAAAGTTTAAAAAGAAAATATGACAGCATAAATTGGACGGTGTGTAGTAAATAGCAACAATAACCAACTTGAGGACCATCAAAAGCAAGAGTCCTCGTGGAGTTATCAGCTCATGATGACTCTTGCGATCGCAGAGCTCACGTAGCGAATGTGTATAGAACAACAATTGCGTGAAATAGTGCACTATCATAAATAAAGTGAAACAAAACACCATGCTACAAAGAATTCCTCAACACCAAGTTACTCTGATAAAAGCTTCTTCATCAACCATAACCTTAACATTAAAACATTTGTGTCCTTATCATAGTAATAACATAAATAAAACTACATTCTTAATAACATAATATGCAACATTAGTGTCCACACTGAGATCTCACTGTGGAGCTTTATAATCAGCATTGGAATAAGGAGGGTATTCATCACCTGCCAAAAATATAACGTTAGTAATTCTAACAAAGAAAAGCAAGCATGGTGAAATGTATGTTTCCAGCAAGCACACACAATAATAGCAACATAATTTTTGAAAACATTAGCATTATTAAAAGGTTTACCTTGAGTTGATGTTTTCTTGACCCTGCAAAATGCAATAATTCTTTCTCCACAAATTCCCCAGAACCCCAATGTTTGAAAGGTGAATGGAGCATCAGAATCAGAATCCTTTGCTAGAAATTAAAGGTATTACGACACCAATATCCAGCAGCAAGTGCGGTGGTGACAGTCAAATTTTCGACAAATTTGAATTTTGTATTCTAATAAAGAGTCAAATTACACTGTAATAACCAAAAAAAAGAAGAAGATCAAAACAGTTTTGGTTGCACTTACATTGTGTGAATTGAAAGCATCAATGGCTAAGCATGAAATCTCAGTAAACTCTGTATCGTTGCGGCAACGCCGTTGTGGAACAATTGGAGCCCCAAGAGAAAGACCCAAATCCAAATCCAAAGTGATATCAAAACCCTAATTAATTGCATAAACCAACAAAAATTCAAATTCAAAACAAACAAAAGTAGAAGAAGAAAGTACGTACCTCGCTCTCCTCCACCTGCTTCCAATACTTCTCCCGAGTTTCTCGGTCCATTATGCTCTTCCCGACATACATATCATGATCAGAATCATACTCTTCTTCTTTGATATCGCCATTCACACTACTCTCATCTTCCAATTTTCACTTACCATGTTCTGCCATTACAATCGATCGGAGTTACAGTATTATTATATTAAGTATGTAAAAATAAGATTCGCAAAAGAGGTAAATATTATGTCTCAAAAATCAATCCGAAACACGTATTCATTTTTTAACGAAAGACAAGGTTAAAATTGGAAATAATTTTATTCCAATTCATTCAGTTTAAATCTAAATACATAGTTTACATCATATCTCGTATATTTGATTTTACCGACAAATTTAAGTAAATTTACTAAAATAATTTCGTTATTATTTGATCCCCATATAACAATTTTCTATTTCCTCATTTTATAGGACGCACCGGCCACATTCACTTGCTTATCGTAGAGGTTGTAAGTACACAGTGACCCACAAGTAGGTTGCTTTTTCCGGAATGCAATTCAAGATAACCGTAACCTTGTATATATAGAAATATATCTTCGATGCTGTCATTTCGAAATGTCCGCTTCAACCGCTCTTTCACCTCCCAAAGAGCAAAGATGCAATGGGGCGAATCGAGTCTTAACCCACAAAGTTTTCAATCCGCTCCACCCCACATTAATTTAAAAAAAAATATTTTAACCTGCCCCGCCCCAATCCCATTTCCATCCCTAAACACTACCCTCTCCCCAGATCTCAATGTGGGATTACACTGGGTTTGTCGTTGTAGTATTTACATACATGCATACATTACTAGACACAAGTGCTCGTGCTAGCACGAACTCAATATCTGTTAATTTTTAGAGAGTCAATTAAATTTTAATATAATTTTTAAATATTTTAAGTTGTTAATTATTGTAATTTATAATATTTTTATGTAATTTTTAAATAATCTATATGTTCCTTCTCTTGTTCCAATGTATGTAGCACCTATAAAATTTCAAAAGTCAATCAAATGCTATTAATTATTAAAATTTACAATACTTTTTACTTAGTTTTCAAATTAAGTTACTTTTTTTGTTCCATTTTATGTGACAAATAAACTATTTTTATGAATCAATCAATTTTTTTATAAGCAATCAAATTTTTTGTATGTTTATTTAAAAATATTTTTAGTTATCAATTACCATGATTTATAGTATTTTTTACGCAATTTTTAAAAATATAAAAAATAAGACAATAAATTAAAACGGAAGAAAAAAAATGAATAGCTGCCAGGCATGCATGTTGACTATAACCTGACTGGGTATTCCCACTTATATATTAGTAGGGGATGTATAGAAGAGAGGGCACATCTTTCAGTGATTCAATAGAAACTGTAGGTACATTGAGTTTCATGTCAGGAACAAGAGAAGAAAGAAGATGAACCAAACATAATAACTATAGAGAAACTAAAAGCTAAAGTGAACCCCCCACCACTAGTCAAGAAACTACCATAATTAACAAATATACCTTTGTGTACATTTCATTTAGAGATCAGATCATACTTTTTTGTTGTTTGATATTAGTAGCCCCCATTTGTTCAGTCAGATGTTCCATGTTCTGAGTTTTATCCCATCCATTTATTTGTGGTTTAGTTTCACTTGTGTTCGAAATATCATCATCCATTGCAGCAGAGTCCATCTCCTCTGTCTCTCCAGGGGAAGGGCTTTGAAGAAACTTTTCCCAGAAAGGGTCACCTACACTAGGAAACTCTTGTATATCATCCAGCAAACCACTCTGCCAGTCAATATGAGGATCAGGAGAGAAACTACCAATATCTAGTCCCATTTTTCCGTTCACTCCCTCAACTGCGCTAGTATCCATGAAAGAATCATGCTCCATTGCAGATCCAATCATATCTATATTGTTTTCGGGCAAAATTCCTTGCAACTGTGATAACTCAGGCATAATTATATCTGATGCAGAAAGTGAACCAGGATGCAAATTTTGACCTCCTACCAATGGGATTATGTCTGAGAACTGATTATTGATGATTTCAGAAGATGTGCCAAGATGAGATGAGTGGATCTCACAAGTCGCAGGCAACAAACTTTGACCGGCAATGGCTGAAGCTGTATTCAGCAAGGGCTGGCCAGAAGTTGGTGGGACTTCCTGAAGAGTGACTCCTGAAACACGAGCGGAAGATGCATTAGATTGTGGTGAACCATCACCAATCAGGAAACTTTCAGGACCGTTGCTGAAGTTCTCTAATCTAGGAGAAGAATCTAGTTTTGAAAGCTCCCTGAACATTGCCTTTGCTGCCTCATTTATCCCAGGTTGGTACTTAACAATCTGCCCATCCGCAGGAGTAACGGATTGATCCTGTGATTCAATGTCCTGTTTAATCCTTCGTTTCTTGCTGCCTTCAGCTATTCGCTTATTACTCTCATTTTGCTGCTGTACAAACTGTGCCAAGAATCCAGGGCTGTTAACAGCTTTTGCCAGGAATGACATCATCTGTTGTTGTCGCTGCTCCATACCCTGAAGGCGCTGCACCATCCCTTGCAACTGATTGTCAGTGGTTTGCTGCTGTTGTCTGAGCCTAACCAGCTCTTGCATAAGCACGTTCTTGTCCCTTTTCAGCCTCTCAACCTCTTCTTCAAGCCCAAATTTTCCAACCTCGACACAAGCCCCAACAGATGCACTGTGTCCAGGTGGCTGCGTCTGTTGTTGAGCATGTCCATGTGGCTGCTGCTGTTGTTGAGCATGTCCATGAGCAGGTTTACGCCGACTTATACTTTTAAGCAGGTGCTTCTGACCTCTTAAGAATCCCTCATTAGCAAATTCCCAGCGGTCTGGATCAACCTTTCTAAAACCCTGCATTTCCACAAAAACACCAAAAAGAGAATAGTACAAAGGCATGAGTTGAAGTTTGATAAATAGCACAAAGATCACTGCACCAATATTTCAAATTAAAGGTAATCAACAAAGAGTTTGCCAAGTGGCTTTGTTTTTCATTAAGATCACTCGTCAGGTTTACTTCACAAACAGAAAGAAATCAAGTAACAATTCAAATATCCATCCATGCTTCACAGAGTGACTTTGTTTCCTCATATAAGCTTTTTGGTGAAAAATTAGCATGATTTGAAAATCAGTACATGATTAGGTACTTTATCAGAAACACTAACAAGAACTGTTTCAGAAATACACCCCCACAACAAGCGTACAAATAGGCATCAAATAAACAAGCACCTCCTCCCAGTACAAGAAAACGAAATCATTCTAATATGAATTTAACAAGAAGCATAAGTGAAATCATGTCCAACTCACTGTAACTGCTCCCGCATCTACCTCATGGATACACAACCCATAATTGCAAATTCTTTCACAGATAAATACACCTTTTTGGGGAAATGGTAAGTATTATATCAGAATATACTGACGTCAGAACAGCACTAAGATGATGCTGTTTATACCTCAAAAAGAAGAGAAGAGAGAAGGAAAAGTAAAAAGAGGTGGAGAAGCATTCAAGGCTTTACAAAAGTTTACCTCATTTACCTACTTCAATTTACAGATAAATACATTTATGTAACTGTTATGAATCTTTAGGGAAGGATCGATTCACAGGGCGAAATATAATTCAGCTCGTTAAAGGGAGGCTGAAACCTTAGAATTCATTAAAAGAGAGAACTCCGATCTCTTCAGCTCTTCAATGGGAGACTGAAACCTTAGAGTTCAATGGAAGAGAGAACTCTAATCTCTTGCTTTTTTGCTGAAATATGGCTTACTGATTTACTCATCAAAAAGCCCCTTTAAATAGGAGACCTAAATCCTATTCCAAACTAATAACTATAACTTAACCTAATCCTTATGAAACTATGAAACATAAATCCTATTCTAGAATAATAAATAAAGCAACTAAAAATATAATTAAACACTTAATTTAAAGGCTTCCAACGCATCCACAACAGTAACCGTTGACACAGTCACACACACAACCATCCTAATAAAACATATAAGAATATTCACCCCCAAAATACAAAATATAAAGAGAAGGTAAAATAATGGATGCATCTCCACATCCAACTGATACTCAACTATAGTATATTATTCAGAAGGCACAGATGTAGCAGAGAGATGAGAAAAATTTTGGAGAAGAAAGTTGTTCTTCTGCCAAGGGAAAAGACAAAAACTACACCCATGCAAGCAGAACAGATAGAGATCCAGTCACAGCAACCCAATATTACGCTCCAAACATGTGACATGCACCTATCCAAGTCCCAGACTTTACAACCTTTAGCATTGAACCAAAGCATTAGCACTGCATTGGCACTCAAGGCTACCGCTATAGAGAATTAATAATCAGGAATTACCATTAAAGTCAACAGCAAGTGGGATATAGCCACGAAAGGATAGCAAGGGACCATTCATATAAGAAATTGGCCATACATAACAACAACAACAACAACATACTCAGTGTAATCCCACTAGAGGGATCAGGGGAGGGTAGGGTATACACAGACCTTACCCCTACTTTTGTGGTGTACAGAGGCTGTTTCTGATACACCCTCGGCTCAAATTTTTGCCTTTCCTAGACTCTTTTTTCTTCTCAATTTTTTTTCATTTCACCATCACATCTCTATCACCTTTATATCACAAAAAGAGAGGGGATGAAATAGCTTCAGATAACCTTTGCTCTTCTATCAATCAGCTAAGTACAACAATGGAAAAGAGAGTGCTTCTCACACTGAAATCTACCACAAGTCACACAGTCACACCAAAGGAGCTTAACACTAAGGGTTCTATGCCCACACCCTAGTTCTACAAAGAGCTTCCGTCCATAACCTCAAAGAAAACCAGAGAGATAAAATTATTGAAAACCAGTGAGATCATGCTTCACTACATTGCTGCCCTCATTTGGTCTCACAACAAATTTACAACAAACTAGGGTCAATTTGTGTTTTGATGTTATCCATGATTTCTTTTTTTTTGCTTTGACTGATTTGTGATACTTAGATCAGATAGACAACTGTGTTTTACATGAGGCGAAGAATGTGAAACACCTTTCCTTTGGGTCCTTTGGATTAAATGAACCTCCTAAGCTTAATCTCCTCTTTTTGTCTTCCTAAGACTCATTTTTCCTTCCTTTGGAATGACTAAGAGTTATGGTAAAAGCTCTTCTTCTTCAATGGTTTTCCTTAATTCATAGAAGAACAAATGTTAAGGAAATACCCAATACTCAAGGCTTAACCTGAGCTATTTCATTCTCCTCTTTTCCTTGTGATAGATATGTGACAGAACAAAGAATTTTGGGAAGAGAAAAAGCAAGTCCCTGGAAAAAGGTGACAAAAAGTTGATAGAAATGCAATGGTGAAAGGAAGATTTCCTGAGAAGAGGAGAAAGCGTTGACGAGACGCAAATGTAACAAAAAGATGACAGTGAAAGGAATATTTCTTGAGGGTGTAAAATGTCTAGGGAGGACAAAAAGATGATTAAAGATGGCAGGTGAAAAAGTAGTACTGGAAGGCAAAAATAAAGTTATAGTGGTGGGAAAGGTTTCTAAGAAGAGTGAAAGTTTTAAGAAGGTCAAAAAGGTGATATGGACATGATGGAAGATTTTACTGACAAAATAAAAGCGACGGGAAATGTGAGGGGTTTTTGGGAAGACAAAGAAAGAGTTAGAGATGAACAATCTAGTAAGATTAAGACCCAAAAGTATTAGGACGATAACATTTCCGGTCGTATGAATTATGATATAAGAAAATTCTAAATGGATTTCCAAATTTGTCTATTTGCTTCCTCCAAACTTCCATAACTCACTTCGGGATCTTCAATGAGTTCCTGCTATAGATGAATGGCTCCATATATACGCTAGAACCCCCCCCCCCCCCAAAACCACCACCACCCCTTCTACACAGGTGATTAACACCTTTCACAACCTTCAAATCCACAAAAGGAACCACAACCCCCTTTTGCATGGAGAAAGTACTGGAAACAAGGTCAGGAACCTAATTGATCGCTAAACTTTAGTTGAAATCAGATCTAGCCTTGAGGTGCACTAGGGAGAAAGATATTTAAACATCATAGCATCAACCTGAAGCTACTATACCAGACCCCCTCTTCATTTGGGAACCACGATGATAACAATACAAGTTACCACTGTCCAAATGTTGATGCAGATATGAACAGTCCCATAATCAGTTTTATTGGTCAAGAAATATACATGCTTCCTGATAAATTATCTACTTGATGACACAATACAAACACCTTTATTTTTTATAACCAAGAAATTCTGAAGGGTCAGTCGCATAAGGTTCGAAACTCGGTGGATAGTGAGCATGGCCATCTTCAGTAACTACCGTGATCTACTTAAATACCAGGCTTTTGACCGGCAGAATTCGACCCTTGGCATGCGCCTAGTCCACAAATCAGATATTGTGCTCTTACCACTCCAAAGTCACAGGGGTCACAATAAGCACAATGTAATAATTTATCACTATCTTAATAATTCTTCATTATCTTAGGGGAACTAAATCCTATATTGATCTTAAAGAGTAAAAGATGTTTTTTTATGTAGTAAGTGAGATATTATTAAGGCACCCAGTAGATGCAAAGATACAACAAGTTGGATCTGTCAGCTCTAAGAGTAAAAGATTGAAACTCAATTAACCAACAAAATTGGATTGCACTAGCTATAATAAAAAGATAAGTTGCAAGGCGGAAGGCGCAACATTCAATGATGTCCTCAAATGGATAATTGAGGAAATAGGGCACAAGAACAATGCACATGATATTCATAATAAAACAAATGACAGGTCCTCTAGAACAACATTCTTTAATTCAACACAATATTTGATTAAGTTTTATGAGAAGGTTGAAAACATTAACATTCCTCGTTTTCAAAAATAATTTTTTTCAGCATTCCAATTAGCAATCACCAACAACAAGATACAACCCTGGAACAAGAAGTTATAATCTTTCAGCTACCACAATAAACCACAACAATTATGCCTAAATGACAAACTAGCTAAGTCTCGATTCTTCATTAAGCATTTGGATCAATTGAAGTTGACAAAAATCCAATAAAAAGCAAAAGGGAAAGAAATGCATACATAAGTATTCAGCTGCCGAACAAAGCTGGAGAAGTTATTATGCTTAAAGTACTTCGGAAGTAGGTCTTTAGCAAACTCCGGAGGATCCCAAACCACAAAACTATTATTCGTAGGACTCCACGACACGATCTTATCCGTACTCGGATCATCCACCATATCATACGTCTTCACCAGAAACGGCGGCGGCGCATTTGCACTGGGCATCGGCGCCGGCGCCGGCTGTAACATCGGAGCTCCTCCTCCTCCTCCTCCGTCACCGACAGCAGCCTTCCCACTGCCAGAAGAATTCGGCTCCATTCACGATAACTCTGCCTCAAACCGGAACAAGTCGGGTCGGGTCGAATGAAATCAAACTCTGACGATAAATACACTACATATATTTATGCTATGCGTCAATGGAATTTGGAATGTCATCCATGGACGGAGGTCGAGAAAAAACCCTAAGTTTTTAGAGAGAGAAAGTGCAAGTGAATGAAGTTTTTAGAGAGAGAAAATGATGACTGAGATTGAATAAAATTGGACCGGCGGAGGAAAAAATGGACTGAACTGGTTATTATAAAATAAATAAATTGCAGTGACCGCAGTAGAGGTGAAGAGATAATGACCAATTTACCTCTCTTTATTTTGTTTTGGACTGGAATTCACGGGGTAAGAGTGAAAGCCCACTCATGTTTTATTAATAAAAAACATATATATATATATATATATATATATATACTAGATATGGAACCCCATGCTAGCACGGGGCCCAATATATGTTACTGTTACTGTTTCTGTTTCAATTTATGTGGTACATATGAAATTTGAAGTTAATCAATTTTTTAGTATGTTTTTATATATTTTAAGTTGCTAATTATTTTTATTTAGAGTATGTTTTACATAAATATATTATAAATCACAATAATTAACAATTTAATATAAAAAGAAACTTATAAAAAATTCATTGACTTTTGAAATTTCATTTGTATCATATAAATCAGGACAAAGCGAGTAATATATATGAAAATTACATAAAACATACTATAACTCACAATAATTAGCAACTTAAAATATCTATATATCTATATTTCTCCCAATTTATGTGGTATAGATGAAATTTTGAAAGTTAACAAAAACTTTTTATATGTTTTCAAATATTTTAATCTATTAATTATTATGATTTATAATACTTTTACATAAAAAATTTATTTATATAAAGTATAAAAGAAAAAATTTAAAAAATGAAAACATAAATGTCAGCACGAGTCCAATCTATGTTAATTTCTATGTTTTAATTATTGTAATACCGATTGAATTTGGAGAGCCAACTAAATTTTTTTAAAGGATTTTTTTTATAAATTTTAAGTTGTTAATTATTATAATTTATAATATTTTTATTTATTTTAAACTAATATATGTTTCTGTCTATCTCAATTACATGATACATATGGAATTTGGAGAGTCAACGAAATTTTTAAAATATGTTAAGTTGTTAATTATTATACCTTATAGTACTATTACGTCATTTTCAAATAAAATATGTAATTTTTTTATTTCAATTTATGTGTCATTGATATAATTACATATATTAAGTAATAAAGAATTAATGTCTAAATTATGTGACACCTATGAATTTTGGAGTGTAAATCAAATTAGTTATATGATTTTTAAAAAATAAAGCGGTTAATTATTACAATTTATAATACTTTTTATATATTTTAAATGATATATATCTTTACGATATTGATATTAGTATTATAATAAATTAAATTTTATTATTTTTAAATTTATGATATCAATTGTCAGCCTATGCCACATTATAAAATATTTCAAAGTAGATATCAGATTTACAAAAATGTCGATGCCAGCTAAAGTAATAAATAACATCTAAGGGCATGAACCTATATATATATATATATATATAGACAATCTGATGTGGCACCTCTCTATGGTCAGCATTTCTATTCATTTTTTATTTTTATTTTTTTTGACATTTTATCTTTGTTTTGTATTTTTTATTTGTATTGTAAAAAAAAACTGAAAGTATTTATGTCATACCCAATTAATTATGCCCTTTATAACATCCATTACACTATTATAGATTTAAGTAAATGAAAAGATAAAAACTATTCATTTTTCATAACTGTTTATAATTTTTTAGCCTATAAAATAAAAAAAAAATAGTTGAGCATTTGTAACAAATAAGAACAAATTTCTTCACTTTGGCTCTTCTTCTTTTGACGATGATGATGAATATATGGTATCAACTTATGTTGCTAAGATGTCCATCAAATTTCTAGGTCATGTGACTTTTTTAACAAAAGAGAAAGAGAAAATATGTCATGATTCTTGTGAAGACATTGATGTAAAGAAATAAATCATGTAACAAAAGTTTCTCTTCAAAATAAAAGACTTTTTGAAAAAATGTTTATTCCTCCTACAAGGAGAGAAAATTCATTGTGGTTGAGAAATTTATAAGAAGGCCAAAGGGTAAGAAAAATTATTTGGAGAAAAAATCATTCTATTTATGGAATTCATATCAAATTAGGAAAGGAACAAGCAAAAATTTATTTTGTGATTTGAAAAGAGACAAAATTAGATATTATTTCTTTCAACCTCATTATTCTTCTAATTTCTTTCTTCTTTTATTTTGCCTTGATTTTTTGTATCTTTAATTAAAGTTTATATATATTTTCTTAAAAAAGAATTTTAAAAGATGGTCATATTTAGTTCCTTTCTTCATCAATGCTATTAATCTCATAATTAGTGTTATTTATATTATTTTCTTAATAATTTTTCTTTCTTTCTTTTAATTATTTATTTGAAGAAATTAGTTATTATAACTTTATAAGAATTACACATGTATTTTTATATAATTGATTTGTCATTTTTAAATTTTTTGGATCATTCTTCATCTTAAAGTTTCTATCTATATGTAACAATAAAGCTAAAATAGAAAATGTGGGGTGAGACCTTCTTAGCAATAAATATTTATTTATTCTTATCAATATTTCTAACATTTTTTGTTATTTTTTCCTTAAAATAATTGTTGCCTCGATTTTTAGTTTTAGTTTTATTTTTTTAGCATTTTCTAATTTTGAAAGACTAAAAAATTTATATTGAAAATTTATAAAATATAAAAAATGATTTATTTAACTCCTATCATCATCAATATTATTATTAATTTTTTTTTCTTCTTTCTTTAATCTTCATTTCATCATTAATGTAATTTATATCATTTTCTTATATATATATACACTTGTGACATTTCTTAGAAGTTAGGATTACTATTTATTTAATTTTTAAAAATTTGAATTCTTTTGTCATACTAAAAACAACATGTTTTATTATAATTGTATTCAATATATTAGTCAATATGTTGTACGAATGAAAATAAAATTATCGTTTCACAAAAACAAAGGTTAAAATATAATTTATTATGATTAAGGAAAGATAAATATATTATTCCAATATCCATAACCATATTTTATACATTAAAAATTAATTGAAACGCTGTAAATGAAAAAGGAATCACCATTTAAGGAATCATTATTTTTAATTTTTTGGATCATTTCTTCTTCTAAAAGTTTCTATCCATATGTAACAATAAAGTTAAAATAGAAAATGTAGTGACATCATTCTTAGTAATAAATACTTATTTATTCTTATCAATTTTTTCTGACAATTTTGGTTATATTTTTCTTTAAAATAATTATTGCCTCGATTTTTATTTTTATTTTTAACATTTATTTTTAATTTTAAAAGATTGAAATTTTATGTTAAAACTTTAAATAATAGAAAAAATGATTTATTTAACTTTTATCATCATCAATACTACTACTTTATTTGACGTTTTTTTCTTAATCTTCATCTCATCATTAATGTTATTTATATAACTTTGTTAAATCACTTATTTTTTTCTTTTTTAACTCTTTTATATATATATATATATATATATATATATATATATATATATATAAAGTTGGATATGTAAATGATGATGTGACATTTCTTAGAAGCTAAGATTACTATTTATCTAATTTCTCAAATTTTTGAGTTCTTTTATCATACTAAATACAATATGTTTTATTATAATTACATTCAATATAGTAAACAATATGTTCTAGGAATTAAAACAAAATTATCATTTCAGAAAAATAAATGTTAAATTATAATTTTATTATGATTCAGGAAAGATAAAGATATTATTTCAATATCCCATAACCGCATTCAATACATTAGAAATTAATTGGATATAACTGTAAATGGAAAATGAATCACCATTTAAGGAAAATAAATGTTTGCAATACCATAATAATTAAGGAGAGAGTAAGATATTATTTTAATATCCTAATTCGGAACTTTAATCTACTACTCAATTAAAAAGAAAATGCATTTAATAACATTAAAAAGTTAATAGTTTAATATTTTTTCTCATTCTACTAATTCAATTCAATCAAACTTAATTTTAAAGATAAAATAACAGCTCCATTTTAATTGTTATCAATATATTTCAAAAAATTATCGTGAAAAGGTTTTTCTTGCACCTTATTTTAATTTTCATATACTATTATTATTTTTCTGTCATTTTTCAATGATTTTTTATTTTGATTTAAAATTTAATGTTTATTCTTAAAACTCTTATGGTACAAATTAAGGTGGAGTAGAATATAATAAATGATGATTCTTCTACTAAATAAGAAGATATAACAAAATTGAAAGGGTGAATTTATTTTTTTCAAAAAAATAGATAGGAAATTCTATTAAGATATCATTACGTCATTATTCAATATATTTTTAATATAAATTTCATCTGCTGATGCATTTGTTTAGTACTCCCTTTGTCCCTAATTACTTGTTCACTTTTCCTTTTATAGTTGTCCCTAATTACTTGTCCATTTTGACAAATCAAGAAAGAACAATTTTTTTACCTATTATACCCTCAATTAAATGACTAATTACTTTGAAAATTGCAGAACTTTTCATCTACTTCATAATTAATAGGGGTAAAATGATAAACTCACTATGTGATTAATTGATTTATTAATAAATGTATCAATTTAAAAGTGGACAAGTAATTAGGGACAGAGGGAGTATTACAGTGTTATTTCACATTACAAGATATTTCTTAGACATTTAAGGAGAATGGTACACCGAAATATATGTTATATATTAAAGGATCAACTTCATGCAATGGAAGAATTTGTTATTAGCAAATATATTTTAACTTATTTGATAAAAAATATATTCTTCCTCATTTAATAGATGTAAAATTTGAAAAGCTTTATTTTTTTCACAATCTTCATAATATTAAAACAAACAATAATATTACAATTAAACAACAGAGTAAATATAAAATTAATCAAAAATATTTAATTTTAATGATCGCGCGAAGTGCGACCAAATTCTCTAGTTTAAAACAAAAAGATAAAATTTAAATGGGTCTACAATAGAATTCCTAGAAATCCAACTTGAAAAATTATGTTAAAAATGGAAAATAAAAAGTGAAATAAATTTAATTGAGAGTTATCCTTCGTCTATCCCATTTTATGTGACAC